AAGTTCTTCAAAAGTAATTGCTATTTCTTTATTACCTTTTATTTTACTATTTTCAAAAAGAATGTTCATTCATAATTTTCTTTCTCTATATTTATTTGTATTTCAAGATCAGTTTCATCTATTCCAATGACATCCAATTCGAATTTCTTGGCAAGAATAATGATCACAGTGTTGTCTCACAAATTCAAACTCTAAAAAAATGAAAGGAACATGAACATTGACATAGAAAAAAAAAACGGTAATTTGTAGATCGGAAGTTGTCTGCATTTTTAGATATAGACTAAATATATACTTTAATTAAGTAATTTAAGAAGGCATCTAATTAATTAAATTACATTATCTATTCAGTATAATTAATATATAATGGAAACAAAAAAAAATGAGGAAAAGGAAATAATTTTAAATAAAATTATTCAATTAACAGATTAATCGTCATTAACAAAATAATTTAAAATTACGTATTTTCATTAAAAAAAAATTCGAATCAAATTATGATACAAATATAAATTATATTTCAAATAACCAAAATTTAAAAGAATATTCATTGTAAAGGAATGAAGAATAATCTCGTTTTCAGCGAAATATATTTGAAGGCCAATATCACAATGAAACTTGGCATTGTGAATTTCATTTTGGTACATTTCCTTGGGAATCTATTTCTTCCTAATGTCAATTTATTTCTAGGCTAATTACGATAATTTTAAGTGTTCGTTTTTCTCCTCGACATAACTCTTCTGTTTGTTTTGGATGTGAATGGGCGACAATAAATCTTTTTTTAATCTTGGCCTAAGCATTGTTTTGCAACCGCAGCACACGCACAATTGTCTCAGGCGATTTAGAAATAGATTGAGGGATATCTGCTCACTGGACGAATCGGTATTATTTTTAGACGATTCTTAATATAACGAGACAGAAAATCGCCCCCGATTCCAAATGCCCGATATCGTACAGAAATACTCACAAAAAAAGAGAATGAAAATGAGGAAAGAATACGAGAGTTCAAGAATACTAACATTCAATGCTATTGTCAATCAAATGAGAGATTCGCTTTAAATCCAAGAACTAAATAAATAGCGATGTAATGGATTGTAAATAATGAACGTTTCGCCATGGTTCGTTAAGATGGACGTTGATTGGGATGGAAAGAGCAAAAAAGAAAACGCATTTTTTTTTTGTTTTTGTTGAAAAACTGATCGTGGTTTCTTAATTAATTAAATTCTTCCTTAGCGACGGTTAATTAAATGAAGACTTCGCCAGGGGAAACGAAACGAAGGCCTCTATTTAATTAATTGAATTCAATTGTCGTTTCAGTGTAATTAAAATATATTAGATTCGGAATTAAAAAAAAAACGAACGATAAAATGGAGACGTTCGTTTGCAATTAATTGAAAGAACTGAGTTAACAGAATGAAAACATAAACATATCTAATTTGAGCCTGATATATATTGAACTGTCGCAAAGATTTTCGAAACAAGGCGATGAAAAAACTTCAATCGAAATCTGTTGACCTAGTTAACACCTTTTTCTAAATGTCTGTTTAGTTGGACTAAAACCAATTTCGCGTGATGAAAGGCGAGGATCTAATGCAGCGAGGATTATTTCTTTTTATGAATTATTTTATTATGTTTTTTTAATTGAAGATTTGTAACCTAAATTGATCTTTTTTGCAATTATCTGAGATTAAGGTCAATTATTGGTTTAAATTTGTATTAAAACTACAATTATTTACAATAAAGTTCAAAAGAATATTTCCTCTTAACACCAAACGATTCAAATTCGCCACGTCCCCTTTTACAACAATATACGGGACAGAACAATGTTTTTCGAGCAATTATCGGGTGTATTTAGTTCATTTCTATCTTAAAATATGCACATGATGCAAAATGTTAACAGTAGTTAACATGCAAGTTTTGTATGACACAAATTAAATTTTAATTAATTAATTCCGGCGTAAAGAGTGAATATGTATAGAATTAATAATGATTTTGTAGTAGATCTAAATATCTATTTTAATCAAACTAATTCAGGAATACCTCGCTTAGTACGTTTGGACGATATTTTCTTCATTTGTAAATCTGTAGTTTGTGAATTTTGTTGACTGTGTTCATTTTGCATCAATGTGTTAAGATATTATAAAAATCAATTGTAATCATTTTTTGTAATAAAATATAATAGATGACGAAATTAATAGCAATATATTTTACAATAATCAAAATAAAAATACGTATTGAATTTCCTGTATTTTAATCATTAATTTGTATTGCTTTCGTTGGGAGTAAGATTTATACAAAAAAAAAATATAGAGAAAATGGATTTTTACAACTAATTTTCTATTGCTCACACGGGTTCTTTTATTTCCAGAAATATACGAAACTAACTTACTCTAAGCTGGGTTAAATCGTCTTTAGATCATTCAATAATCAACTAAATCATTCGTTCTTTTCTTTGTACCCTCTAATACAAAAAGATCATTTTTTACTAGGTTAAGACAGGCCAAAGTCACATATTCAACCTTTTGAAGATGACTTTTTCAAAGCAAAGCTATGATTTATTTTTTAATAATTTGGATACAATCTTCACAATATTTGTTCAAAAAAACTTAATTTAAGCTAGTGAAAGAAATAAGCTTTCTCTAAACGTTCTGTGGATTTTGTAAATTAAATAAAAACCTTACTAAATTAAAACGTTAGACCTAATTTCACTTTTTATTATTTTATTTTTTTCAATTCACGTAACATACACGAATTTTGTGTCAGCCTTTTTATGTTTATAATCTAATAATTAAAATAATTCATTATTTTTTATATTTTAAGTCTAGTCTCAAATACCGGTAATTTAATTGGAAAAAAACCGGTTTACGAATTTTTTAAATTTTCTCAAAAACCGGGTTTTAAAAATCTAGTTGGGAGATGTAAAGAGTGCTGATTTCAAAAAGTGTTCTCTTTCAACGCTATACATTTTGTAACAACTAGCAATTAATTAAGGAAATTTAAAATAGATTTTTGTTTGTTGGAAATAATTACATTACATTTCCTGATCCCAAATGATCAAACTGTTAAAATATGTTAATGTTACCTAATCTAATCTAAATACAAAAAAACTAACGATAATAATAAAAAGCATCTGTCACTGTACCCCAAATACTATAGATGTCCACAGGCTGATAGAAATAAATTCAAATTAACTTTAATTAAGCGAACGAACTGAACTGAAAAATAAAACTATACAATGTGGTACAAAGGGTTTCATTTATTTCCATTCCATTTCCTGTCTATAATGCGATCCATTTCAATAACAATAAAAGAGTGTTTTGAATGGTTTTCATAGTTACAAGTGATAATTACTAGTTAACGATTGGATAGCAAATTCAATTACTAAAATAGCATAGCCATGTATGCAATTTTTACGTCGCTGATTTTATTTCGTAAAATGTATGCCCATAATTACTTCCACTTTGCGAATACGTTTCTAATTAATTAATAACTGTTCTCGAAGTATAATAATAACAGTTATTGAAGTTAATAACAATACAATGAATTTTTATGAGTGTCTAGTCCAATTAACAGTTCACGAGAATTAATTAATTCTTATAGGCATATTCGTATTAATTATGTATATATTATTTGTACTTATTTTAACAGGATTTCTAGAATTATGATATTTATAATTATTAAATAACGTTTTTGATGATATTTTTTTATTATTATTTACAAAGCAATCTATCTAAAATAAAAAGAAAAACAGATAACATGCTCTAGTTCTGGACTTATTGTAAGAAAAACAAATAAGTCTTATTGTTAATTTAGCCACTAAAACTAACTTAAAAGCGATTAGAAAGGTCCTATGGTTTGAATCGTTTCAATATTTGTCGATGAGATTCAGTGTTTGTAAGTTCAGATGCAAGTTGGTTTGGATGGTCCTCCAGCCGATTTTTGTATTTGCTGCTGAGTTCCGTTATTCCATCCTTCACAAATCGGACTCCAGTGTATTGATGAATGTATTCGTTAGTCGAGAACCAGGGAGCATTGGCAATTGCTCTGAGCGTTTTTGACTGGAACCGCTGTATGATGTCAATACTTCTATTACAAGCAGATCCCCATACTTGTAATCCATAAGTCCATATTGGTATTATTATCGTTTTATATATTAAAACAAAGTTTTGATAATAATAAATGAAAAAATAAATAAATATTTCAAATGAATTTGAATAGTTCAGGAAATTAACAGAATTTAATTTAGGCAAATTCTAAGCAATTTTGTAGATAATAAATGAAAAAGACAATCAAATTAAGTAACATTACCACATAATATTAATGCTACCACAAGTATTATATTACATATAGGTATGTTTGCAGAAATAAAAACAAAGTATATTTAACCTTCGATATAATAGTATTTTGTACTCAGTTCGATGAACGTCTATTAATATGAAATAATATCACATTACGTATCATTGAAACAGATATAGAAAGTAGGCGGTGTAAATCTTCATTATAAATCGCTTACTTGAAGAAAACACGTTGTTATAGCGACAAGTTTTTCAGGCATATTAGCGCATTCTTTAGCGCTAAACTATAACAGCTGCAAAACAATTGGAAACAAGTTTAGTAAATACTATTATTTGTTTAAAAAATGAATTATAATTAATAATGAATAATAACTAGTTTATGGGAAATAGAATATAGTGGAATCTGATAATATTGCTGTAAAATAATTTGTTTTTGATACAAATTGTCTTGATTTCAATTAACGTGAGAATCGTAAAGTTAAACAGTAAAACGAAGATTAAAGTATCTACTCGTAAGTTTAAGACTTGACTATCCGTTTACGAGGTAAAAGCACTTCATCGGTAGATGATTATTGATTGTTTCGGTCACAGGAAGTGGTGGCTATTATCAGATGGAACCAATAGTAATTATCTGCAAGATAGTTTATTATCATTGATTCTACTAAATTTGTGGCTTTTCCTGATCGATGTTAATGTTTATTTTTGTTGCAGCAAGGATGGCTGACACCGGATGAGCGGAGGGGGCGGTGGTGGTGGTGCGTTGAGGGCGGCCGCAAGTAGCGGAGACGCGACATCTTGCGCCCGTCTTTTGGGGAACGCGAGATCTGTCCGATTCACGAGAGATGAGCTTGGAAGGTCGGCCCTGCACCTTGCGGCCAGTGCAGGCCACGGACCCGTCATCCGTCTGCTGCTCAATGTGGCCGCCCCCCGGGAGGTCGACAGTCCCGACGGCGCCGGATGCACGCCGTTGCAAAGGGCTGCCGCCGATGGACACGAGGAAGTCGTTAAGATGCTTTTGGCGCGCGGCGCCGACGTCGACAAACAGGATAGCGTTGTAAGTGAAACTTTATATTAACAAATGTTATAAATTTGATTTTATGTAGTTGAAAAATTATTATCGAACTTTTCCTAAATGATAAATTTTTGTAGAATCAACCCAAATGAGCATGTACATACATTCTAGAGTCTAGATAAATGTATGGTCGTATAATATTATATCTGTCGGTTTAGTAAACGGCTGTGCATGTTGTTTATTTGACTTCTGATCAAGACAGATTTAAGTTTTACCTGATTGCTGTATCGTATCTCGTAGAATACTATGAATGTTTGTTGAATATTTCGATGAACGATACAAAAATGTTAAAAAAAATACTCAATTAAACTTTTCGCCTATTTTGTTTAGCAAAATTAACAAGGATTGTAATAAATGAACATCAGTTACTTTAATTACTCAAAAGTATGTAACACATAAGACATTATCTTAAATGCGACACATCTAAGTATATTCATCAATTTATATTTTATAATTTAACTATAAGTTAAAATAATTTACAGTGATAATTCAAAAATACTTTCAAAATAGAGATGATTTTTCAGACTTTAGACGTAAAATCATTAATAAATTAATCAAACAATAATCAATGACAAATGCTTTTTCTACCAATTAACGCAGTAATTATCAACCGGTAAGCCGTGAAGGGTCTAGTATACCACGGAAATTTTAAAACATCATTAATTCAATTATTTTCCAGTCAAGTGGGAGTATGGAAATAGTGTGTCTCGGAGTTTACAAAATGTATTTTTCATAACGACGGAATGAATCAAGATGATTGAATACTTTAGTCCATGACAATTTTCATCTATATATTTGACATGACTAGTTGTTTTTATTTTGTGCCTTGACTCTTTGAATATGTCTAATGTGGCATTATTATAATTTTCTAGAAATTGTCCAGGGAAGAGGAATTACCCTTTAATTTGGTTGATTTGTCAAGAGATGAATTTGGATAGTACATATCATCCGATGTTTATTCTGTTGACAAAGTTGTCTGATTCAATTGTCTAGAAATTTGGAAATTTCTGGTCTTTCAAAAAGAAATGTAAGCCTGTTAATTATATTATCTTTGTTTTCAGCATGGGAATAGTGCCATGCATGAAGCGGCTTGGAAGGGTTACAGCCGTACAGTATCCCTTCTAGCAACCGCCAAAGCGAACCTGCAGAAGTGCAACACGGGCGGTTTCACGGCGCTGCACCTATGCTGCCAGAACGGCCATAACCAGTCGTGCAGGGAGCTGCTGCTTGCAGGTTGCGATCCGGACCTGCAGAACAACTACGGTGACACCGCTCTCCACACGGCCGCGCGCTACGGCCACGCCGGAGTCACCCGCATCCTTATCTCCGCGCAGTGCCGTGTCTCCGAACAAAACAAGAATGGAGACACGGCGTTGCACATTTCTGCTGCGATGGGCAGAAGGAAGCTGACAAGGATCCTGCTGGAGGCGGGCTGTGATCGAGCCGTCCGCAACAAACAAAACGAAACTGCCAAAGATATCGCCCTGCGGAAGGACCTGAACGAGATCCTGCAGATACTGGACGATTGTCCCGCCTCTAAGAAGGAGAAGAAGTCGCGCGGAAAGAAACGCGGCAAGAGCAAAGTGAGGTTCGATCCAGAGGTGCCGGATGACCTGGAGAAATCAAGACATTGGTCACCCTACGGATGTCACTACTATCCGGATCCGGAGGCGTTTCCGTCGCCGCGCTTGGACAGCTTACCTCACGAGCCCTTGAAAAGGGGCGAGCAGTATTATTTAGATTTAGGGGGAAACATCAGGAAGGGTCCCGTCGGCGTCGGATACACTTGTTACTGCGCCCCGCTCTTCAGGCATTTAGAGGCCAAATTGGAGAAGGATAAGCGAGAGCTGCATAAAGCACAGGTCAAGCTGGGTCAGAGAGTCGCAGGACTTGAGCAGAAGCTCAGCAGAGGTGTACATGAAAGACGTTCCGAACGCGTTCATCCCCACAATAGGGAGGTAGAAGTCTCCACTCTCACCAGATCTAGGAGTCTGGAAGTTCTAGATACTCACAGGAAATCCACATTACTCACGGCAAGGTAAAACAACATAAATCACTAAATTCATTAAAATACAAAATTACCCTCAACTTAGAAATTAGCATTTTATCAACCAACTTATTTGATTGATTTATATAACAAAAATAATCGGTAATTTTTAATTTATTTCTCTCATTTAATATATTAATAAAAAGTCTCGTATATTTCGAAATCGTGTTAATTCAAACTTTTAATACAGAATTGAAAGTTCCGTTAACAAAATATAGAAATATGTAATATTTAGGTGTGAATGATATATTTTTTAATTAAATTATTTACCAAAAATTTACATTGCATAACAAGTGTTCAAAACTAAAACATCATAATAATGTACGTAGTGTACGGAGGAAGTAGGTTCCGTGCCGTAACATAAAAAAAGGTTGAAAAACACTGTCTTATATGACAGTGCAGATTTCAGAGGTTTTTACTTGAAAAATATTATACAACTTACGACAAAACTTAAAATTGTAATAGTTTCATTAATTTGATTTTTCCACACTTTGAGTATTTAAGATAACGCATTTTTGTAATTACAATGCATACTTACAATAATGTGTACAAATCTATAATTATATTAGAGCGTATAACAACATGTTTATTCGAAAGATACGTATATCATAGATTTAAGCTTGAGAAAAGATAAAATATTCAAAGATAATTCTTGAGGTGATGTGTATCTTATTAATGGAAGTAGATAAGATCCAGGTAGAGGTAAAATAGTATCGATTTAAAAGAAAAATATAATTACTTAATATATAGATTTCAATATAGATAGAGTACGCTACAATTTTAAATAAATCACGTAATCATGTTGGCTATACGCACGATACTTAATTATTATCATGTATATATAATAATGCCTGTAGAATAATAAGAATAATAATAACACAAAAGGTTGTAGACCTAAGGCTTCCTACGTATAATATACCAGCTATATATAATTGCAATTCTATTTACACGTTACACTTGATTTATTATAAGATTAATTACGTGTATATGATATACAGTCTTCCCCATTACATTCATAACTTAATTAATCGACTTAACATGTTCACAACAAATAATTGTCATAGCTTGTTACAATCACTTATACATGTTACTTGTAAAGTAACGCACACTGATATAAATATGCTTAAAGATCTTAAGTAAACTACACATTAATGTTACTGCTATACATTTTTTATAAAAAGATTAATCTTCAATAAATTTATTTTTTAAAATAGTTATGCTGCAATAACAGATACATAAATTCACTACAAATTAAAACATTACATAAAAAATCCGATTTATAGAAATTTTATATGAAATTCAAGTGGATATTTTACATCTGGATTTATATTAAAAGCAGTTAGATAACTTCTAATGCGTGTTTTCCATCGTTTTCATTTTATTACATTTACTTGATTCCAGTACAGACGTGTTGATATATCGTACTGAAATTGCGTAATAGTAAAAAAAAAAGTCGGCACATTTAGCTGCTGTTCCATTGATTCGCAAAAGCCCGCTACAGCTGCATGTCAAGATTAGAGGCTTTGAGACTATTTTAAACCAGTTTATCTAATAACATACATTAAATATATTAAAACATTCATGGCTTGAAATGCGAAGATTGATAGCTGAAGTTGAATTACATCGTGTCGTGTTATGAGAATGTGATGATTTCAATACGTCTATAAATTTATATTAATATTTATGTATTCAGTAATTATACACATTCTGATTGAATTGTAATTATTTACATATTTAAATACCAAACGTGTGTTTAATTGTATACAAATAAAATGCTTTGGAACATTTTACTCTAATACTCTAACACTACACTAATATTTATTTTTTTGATTTTTTCATTGGATAATTAAATTATTAAAAAATCCGCCTTAAACACATTTCTACATATTATTTAATATAAATTAAATATATATATTATTTTACTTTTTTCTGTTTATAAGTTGATATGAATTTATTACAATACAATTCGTTATATGTTTGTATTAAAGGTAAAGTACTATAACGTGGAATAAAGACTTTAACTAAAGAATAATTGAAACGTGAAAAAATGAAAATTTATGTTCAATATCTAATATCTTTATACTATTAAATATATAATAAAAATTTAAAAAGGAAATAATTGATATATTTACTATTGGCCTGCAATAGTTGTAAATAATTGGAATTACCTATAGGTAGCTAATTCTTGTTTTGTGTGATTATGACAATAATCTTTGCTACTATAGTTTAATACTTTTATGGGAAAAAAGAATTAACTTAAATATTGAAGCAATAATACCTACAATTAGTTTATTTGAAAGAATATTGATTGAATCAATAATAGTAATTTGAAATGTTTTAGGAGCATGGATGAATTGGAGGGTGACGATGAACCAAGGAAGTCGGTGAAGGAATTGGTGGCAAAGATCCAGCAGCAGCAGGTGGACGATGCAAAGAATGACAGCGAGAGCAGCGACGACGAGGATAAGCCTCTCAGGTTGCCCCAAGGTTTAGGCCCGATGGGCGAATCGAACTTGGTGAGTTACGAAAATGTCCCGTTGGAAGCCCCCAGGAGTAGAAGTGGTGTTTACAGTCCAGAGAATATGCGGTACATCGAGCCCATCGTGAAGATCCAAGAGAACTTCTCCAGCTCGACACCGCATCTGGACACCTTCGAGAATCGTCTGGACGTGGGCCGCTTGGAGAGCTCCACGTCTCGTCTGGAGCTGACCAGGTTCTACGATCCGAAATTCTGCGAGCAGAATGTGCGCTACATGGACTCGAATCCGAAATACAGTGACCTGAACACGAGATTTGCGAAGCTTAGGATGCTCGATCCGTCGAAGGAGGGCACCTCGCGTCTCCTCGACTCCAACAAGATGTTCGAGAGCACAACGAGGATGTTGGAAAACCCGCAGGACATCGTCGACAGAGATACGAACAACGATTCCGGTTACAGCACCAAAGTTTACGGCAGCTCGAAGGGAAACTCGCCCAGTCTCTCAGGACAATTGGACGCTGAATGCATCGGTGCTTCGAGTTTAGTGTAATGAAAGAAGTTTTTATTCGCGATGATTCATGCGGATTGAAGGAACTCGTGCGCATTCGTGCAATGAAAAACATAAACTTTGTTACCTACATTTGTAAAGTTTTATTTTTATTTTATTTTCTAAACAAACAAAAAACTACAAGTAAATACTAAATCGAAACTATTTGTTAATAGATTAAAATATATAATATATAAAGAAGATATTTAAATGAATGACGAGGAAACTGTACAACAATATTTTATATTAAATAAAATTATATTTTATTTATAAATCCTTATTTATTTCTAGCAAATCTTTCTATAAATTTTATTACATGAATTAACTGAAAATGTTAATTATTATGTTCTACAAGATTTTCTCTTAACTTAATTTTCATGTTTTTGTAGTCTTTGTTAATTAGTTACATACACAAAAAAAATCTTGAAAATTGTGAAAGTAAGATAAAATAGTAAGAATTATCTTTAAATTTGATTACCAATCTCCTAAGTAAAAAAGCTTATTTTATTTCTAAAACTCAATATAAAATATAATTAATAACATTTCCAAAACTGATGATATTCGTTATCTAATCGTTAGTTGTAATCTAAGAGCTGTACTAGTGCTATGAGTACGCCCATCGTCGCTTTAGTCCACTCGACGTGATGTTTCATATGAGAGGCATCAATGAGTCGAAAAAACGAAGGTTTTTACAGCGTTCACTCAGATTTCCTGGAGTTGAAAAGAACCCAACACCATTCCGTGTCCTTAACGTTCATAGGAGATGTGGGCGTGGGTAAAACGACGTTCATCGAAGCGTACGGAAACAGGAGACCAATCCAAACTTTGCACATCGGAGACAACACCATCGACGTGCACATCATGGACACGGAAAACATACAGCATCACGAAGAGGTTCTCCGAGTCTGGTACAAAATGGTAAACTATTGGTTATCGAAATGCAACAATTCGGATAAAATACATTTTAGACGAGCTTGCTGGTCTTGTGCTATGACATGACCGATTCGATCAGTTTAGATAACATTGCGCAATTGTGGATGGACAACGATCATTTGAATAGTGAGTCTCCCATTATACTGTTAGGTAAAGAAATCACTGTCAACGATATTTGAATTAAAACTCAAATTTATCGTAAACATACAAAAGGCTGAATTACTTATTTTATTTTAGGAACTAAATTAGATTTAGTTGAAGACATGGCACTCGCGACGATTAGGGGACATGAAATGAAGCAATTTATTAAAGCCGAAGACGTTATTTTCACATCGACTATTCAGAAAATTGGATTGGACGAGTTTAAGGAATGTTTGGTGAGAATTCTAGGAAAGAAATTGGTTGTGCCGGAAAGAAAACCCAGGTTTTTCTGTTTCTAAATCTCTAAATCGGCATCGATGATGCTACTATTTATTAACTTTTGGTACATATATCTTGAAGAACAAAGATGAAGGCTGTGACATTGTTTGTATCCATTACAAGATTAATTAATGTAAGCATATAAATAAAATTTGACATAAACAAATATAAACCCGGATTTATTTTTATATAGATTAAAATAATAAATTAATGAAAATTAATTCCTTGTTGTTAATATAAAATTATCTAATCTTCATTAAAAATGTTTTCTTGAAATAACAAATATTATTGCAACCATTATATAATACTTATATGCATAAAAGTAATTATTTTGACATAAAAAAAAAACATTTATAATTTGTTTGCATAATAACAACATTTTCAATTATATGAAATTATTTAACTAGACAATTGTTGTATCATATATCATTTTAAAAATGCAAAGGAAACCTTCTGACACGACATAAACATGTTTAAGTTTTCAATAACTCTTAGTTTGCAGTTTCTTTAAGTTCATTAATTTTCTACAAAATAAAAGTAGCATTACCATTTTTTGTCACCATTATTACAAATATACAATTGTTATTTTTTCAGATACCTTTATTAATATTTATATGTATTTTGCTATTGCTTGTAGTATTTTTCTTAATTTGATCCGTTTCTTTACTGATTTTTTCTGGTTTCTTGTATTCGTTTATTGAGTATAGACTTATGCAACATAAATGTTTTGACCTTTTCAGGTTGAATGTTTCTGTAATTCCTAATTATTTCCAGGAATATTTGCATATTTATACTAGTAATCAAATTACATAAACAATTATAAACATTTTGTTCAAGTAGGCGTCAATTATTTAGATTTCGAAGTATTCTCAAAGACTGTGCGAGAAATTGTATGCTTGCATCGCATTATTTCTTTGGTCTCGTAACGATGTTGAGGTCGCCATCCCAGAACAGCGTGTGCATGATTGGTAAAACCCCATTATTCCCGATCGAAACTGTTTGTATCTGTGACAGTTTCCAGTTGTCTATAAATTTATTTGACTTTTACTTTCGGTCTCAGCAGAATCAGAAGGTGGCCATCTCCCAGATTCACCACTAGACACACCAAGTTGGTTGAACCCTCCGCAACTTCTGCATTAATTACCTCTGCTTATTTCAGAATCCGGAAATTTTCGTAGGAGACACAAGTACAACACGAGATTAGCAGGTTCTTTATTGACATCTATATGAAATATTGGATAGGGTAAATTCATTCTTGATCTAGCTTCCTGTTGGAGAGAATCCTCAAACGACAGCACCGTCTTCGAATCATCGTTCATTGTCCCTGAAGCTCTTAATATGGCTTCCATTAGGAGAGGAATGTATTCCAATGGAACGCATTTGAATCCCTGCTCGGATCCAGATTTCTCAGGGAGCAGCAAGTTCATGAAATTCGGATTCGTTTTCCTCACGATATGTAAACTATTTTGGCTAAGTACAAGTATCAAAACTATGTTTAATTATTTGCATAGGTTTGATTGGTCTTTCGATCACCGTCTTGAAAGACAAGTACCAATTCTTTGGGAACCAGCAAGAAGATAACTTTCTGAAGAGCGAATTGGATAGCATCAAAACGCAAATCTGCCAGATGAAAGATAACATGCAGTTCATCGTCAAAGCTAAGCAGGATACCAGCAAATTGGTGCAGGACGTGAACAAGATGTTTGCGGAGCTGAAGAAATCCGCGGATGAAGAAGGCAAATCGGATGGTGTCGAGGGGAACTGTAAGCCAAAGAAAACTAAGTCAGATTATCTTAGAAAGCTATTGCGATTCTTCTAACTGTGTGCCGTTTCTCGAATTCATAATAAATTGTTTGTTTTATTGTATTATTTTAGTATTATTTCGCTTAATTTTCAGGTTCGGAGGAGGATGATGACGTAAAGAAGGCAGTGAAGACTGCCATGGAAGTGTACGGCGCGGATAAGATTGGAAAACCAGATTACGCTCTGGGAACTGCCGGTTGTTCTTAATCCTTGTTAACTCTTTAATAACTTGTTTTCATTTGGTTTCATTGAAGGCGCTAGTATTGTTTCCACGAGGAACACTATCGAGTATACAGCGGGGAATATTATTTCGTTCTTCGGATACACGCTGTGCGCTTCTAATAAGGGACCCCAAATTATTCTGAACGTAGGGTTTCACATAATGAAGTTTCTCAAAATCTATTGTAAAAAAATCGATATTTGTTAGCCTTCAGTGTCTCCTGGTGAGTGTTGGGCCTTCAAGGGAAGCTCCGGAGCTGTGGCCATAAAACTGCTGACTCCTATTCACATAAACGGAATCAGCTTGGAGCATATTCCGAAATCTGTTGCTCCTTCACACGACGTTTCCTCAGCTCCAAACGAGTTTAGTGCTTGGGTACTAACAACCATAATACTATTAACAATTCTACAAATATTTACCTGTTTATCACATTTCAGGGTTTACTGTATCCTGAAGATCACGCAGGTGTGTTTTTAGGTAGATTTAATTACAAAACGGACTCGAGTCCTTTGCAATATTTCCCTATAAACAAGTCGAGTAAGGCTTTCCATTACGTCGAAATCAAGTTCCATTCTAACCATGGAAATCCAGATTATACTTGCGTTTACAGGTAACAAAACTAATTCATGATCGGATTTCGTAATCACTTAATTTCATTTTAAAGAGTGCGCGTGCATGGAAATCACAAAGGCATGCAAGACGATGATGAAGATTAAAATTTAATTATCTTCTTTTTAACTTTGTTTATTTAAAAAAATATATTTTTTTGTATATGATACATATCTATTGTAAATAAAACAACGAATTTCTTCATCGAATTTATTATCCTTCAGATTTGTATATGTGAAAATGATTAGTGTGAAGATTTGTTACAACATCGAACCTACGTTTAAATATTCCAAATGGTATCCAAATTAAGGATATGCAATTTTTAGTCTACTACAAAAAACGTTTGGAGACTTAAACGAATACACACAGAATCGTCGTAAGAATGTTACTTTACAACAAATAAAGTTAAGACAACATCTATGAGTTGAGTTGCAGTAACAAGTTTGTTTTCAAAATGATTAAACTTTATTTTTGTATATCTTTCCGACTATTTCAATCTAAGAAGATTGGGATTAGACTTAATATGAATGGAGTGTAGTGGGTACTATATAGTACTAAATAAACAATTAACTTAAAAGATTTTTTTATATAATTTGAAATTCAACAAATAAAAATATATACATATTTTGACTTTTTACAATATGCTACTGTACTTAAGATTATCGATCTTATCCCGGTACAAATATTTGTCCCTATAAAAGTCAGATAATGTGGTTAAATACAGGGGAATCCCCTTGAGCACTTGCGAATTGGCAGAGTTAATTTGCACCGCAACGTAATCTCCTTGTCTGATGCTACGCTGTTCCGTGCCTGTCTTCCAGCTCAATTCATCTTCTCCAGGTATTATGACTTTGATGTTGGCCTCGTTTCGACCGGCCAAAAAGGCACTCGACCTCTTACTAAGTCCTTCAATCAACACCAACTGCAAATTACCGATCTGCTGTCTATTCAATCGATCTGCGTGCAGCCGATACAGTTCGACCATCCTGTCCAACCTCTTTTGCTTAACCTCCTGCGGTACATCGTCCTTGTACCTTCGATGCGCCGTCGTCTTCTCCCGCATACTATATGGAAACAAATAGGCAGTGTTGTATCTGAAAGAAATTAATAATTAGATAATGAAATTTTAACAACAAACTTTTAAATTACCCAACCCTCTCGATGAGGCTGAGAGTATCTTCGAACTCCTCGTCCGTTTCGCCGCAGAAACCGCATATGAAGTCCGAACTTATGGCCACATTAGGCAGCAACCTCCTCACATGATCAACAAGTTCAAGGTAAGCTTCTCTGGTGTATCCTCTTCTCATTCTTTCCAGCACGTTCGAGTTTCCACTTTGCGCGGGTAAATGGAGATTCTTACACATATTTGGGTACGATTGAATCACCTGCGGTTACGAAATCTTGTATTACTCGTCGATCAAACAATGTAGCAATAGTTACTTGCAGGACTTCATCTGGAAAGTCCTTGGGATGCGGACTCGTGAATCTGATCCTTATTTCCGGGTCAACCTCAGCTACTCGATGCAGCAGATCGGCGAACCTCATACCACCGACTTTGGTCTTATAGACAGTCTTGAAACCCTTAACTAAGTTCGTGCTTGTCTTCACGGTGGACTCCGACAAATCCCTATAGCTGTTCACGTTTTGCCCGAGAAGCGTAATCTCCTTTACGCCTTGATCCCGTAATTGTTTAATCTCATCTAAAATCGAACTGATGGGCCTCGATCTTTCACGTCCCCTGGTAAAAGGCACTATGCAATAAGTGCACATGTTATCACAGCCCCTCATTATGGACCTACAAATAACAATTAAATAACAATTGATAATAATTAACATATATTAAATATTACACAAAGGCAGATATACTGTTCTCATTAAGCCTGACTGGCATTATATCAGCATAAGTCTCATCCAGAGAAAGCAGAACATTAACAGCAGTCTGATTGTTTTGAGTCAAGGCTAAGAGTCTTGGTAGATCCTTATAACTATCAGGTCCAGCCACCAAATCCACACTCTGATCAATTTCCAACACTTTGTGCTTCAATCTCTCAGCCATGCAACCCAAGATTCCAATTTTCATAGGTGTTGCATTTTTGCTTTTTTTCAACTTCTGATTGCGAATACCTTTCAAATATTCCAGCCGATTCCAAATCTTTGTCTCAGCACCTTCTCTAATTGCACAGGTTATTATTAATACCACATCTGCATCATTCAGGTCATCTGTTTTTAAAAAATTGTTGGATTTTAGTATTGACCATATGATCTCAGTATCATTTACATTCATCTGGCACCCGTAAACATCAAAGTACACTTTCCTTCTGCCTCCAAACTTCTTTACATCCTTCAAATAAGGTATAACCTCTTCCTCTGGTATATTTTCCTGCATTGCCAAGTTCTCATTCTTGAAGAAATCTTTTAAGTTTGGACCACCTAGTAAATTTCTTTTGGCCTTTTCACAGGCAAAACTTGTAACTGAAACATTTCTGTAGCATAGCTGCTTATAGTTTCCACACTTCAGCAAATTGTTTTTCAATATTCTACACGAAATGGAACGCATTTTAATATCCACTTTTCATACAAACATTATTTATATCTCATCCAGTCTTATTAAATACACTTTTTTGGTTAGGTAAGGTTATTAATGTTTTAGTATAGGCAATTTCTGGTGCTCTGTAGTATAAGAAGTTAATGAACTAATATTAATTAATTATCAGATTACTCAAAATACGATTTGTTTTATAGCTACAAAGTAACATTTATTGTATACATAAAAAAATATATAAAGGGTTATTGACCATAGTTTTTCCGTCCTAAATTTTATCAAAATGTTGAACATTAAAATTTATTAATAATATAATTAAAAATACTTTTAGAAATAAACAAAATATGTTTTCATCAACTTGTTTGTACAAGATTATTCATATCAATATAAAAAATTAAATAAAAATACATAATAATTTCATATCACGAACATTTATTGGAAAAATGTAAATTTTCTCATTAATATAAAATCAATAAATAATATTTTTATACAATAAATAAACATCTGATTAGAATTTTTCACTGGTAAAAATTGATTATACATAACATATAACAAAAACACAGCCAATGTCAACAATAATTTCATCCAATTTAGAATTTTTAACTATCATTGTTAGTGAACAAGAGACCTCTAAAAGGTTTGTTCGTTGTTCGTTAGAACATCAACATTCACAACATTCATTCTCCATATACATATATCCCAATGTATATGCAGAATCTGACTATGGGTTCATTTCAATCCAATGCTCTTCGTGATGGATTCATAGACTGTCCACGCCATGGCTGCCATCAAGGTCCTCCTCAGCATGCGAGGAACCATTCCCTTAAAGTAGCCCTGTACGCCGTACTTTCCATGAACATAGACCATCACGGACCAAATGCCATTGAATTTGTTAGGGTACAGTTGCATTTTGGTCTTCAGAACGTCAGCAGGTTGGGTCACCACCGAGGCCAGAATTCCAGCTGTAATACCGCAGGTGAAGTGCATGGGAGTTGCGTAATGCGTATTTAACAAATCTGAAATTACAAATGATTCGTTATTGGTTGTAATTAATAAAAATAAATCCAGTGAAATTACCTTCTGGGATCATTTGTTTGCTTTGGGTATAGAACATGAGGTATAAACCGGAGAAAGGAGCGTCTCTGAAGAGTGTCGGGATAAGGCCGCAGGTCATGCCTTTAAAGCCCTCTGTTTTGTAGATCTCTTTGAGAGCAGAAGCAACTCCGTTGTATCCGTAGACACCGCTTTCGTATCTAGTTTTAACAACGGTGATCGGAATCAGAGCTACACCGCTCATGCACCTAGCGAACATCCCAAGGGCCACCGATTGCAAAGCCCCCGGAGTACGATCTTCAAAGAATTTGGTCTTGAGGTAGTCCAGCGAGCAGAAGTATAATCCAACTCCGGGCACGCAACGCGTGATGCTCTGTAAAACGAGATAGACGTTGTTATCAATTTCAAATAAAGAGAAGTCATAACGTTAGCAACACCAATTAATATTCGCGATTAGGTCAATGTCGTAACGAGATAAGAAGCCTCTCTGTTACCATAACAATATCGTTAATCTTACAAGTCATTTACGCAAATTTTCTTAGTTCTTTTTCTCGCAAAATAATTAGAAAACTCACCGGAGCCATGCCTCGCCATAATCCTCGTAAATGTTCCTGTTGTACAATCGTAGCGAAAATCGTGACCATTCCAGTTCCGGCTCTAGCACTATGAACAAAACAAAAAACAAATATTATATTGAACCAATATTATTAGCGTTAAACTTACTTGAGAATAGCGGAAGTTGGATTCTGTAGGCGTGTCTTCACCAAATCCAATGGTTGGAAGAGGATGGTGGAGAAGGTTCCAGAAAAGGAACCAGCTAGGAAGGCTTTAGCCAAGGGGTACTGCAACAAATAATAGAATAAATTCCACTGAAATATAACACTTTCAAAGTAACCACTTGAACTGCACTTACATTCTTAACAACTTCCATGATTAAATTAAATTAAACAATAAATTAGTGTTCAGTCTTATTTGGAGAGACAACTGCTCAACGATGAGTGCAAGTAAAGTCTGAGGCAATTAGTATTCGGCTCACACTAAATATATGATTATTGAGAGGCTGTGACCTTCTTATCATCATGAGAGAGGCAGGACTGGGTGATAACAGCCAACTATTAATGATGTACGTTATTCGTTGATAACATTAAAAATCAAACAAATGTGCGTATGGCAATTCACGAACTTACGTTTTGTAGAAAGGTCTTGTTCTTCGGTTGTTCATCATTAACATTAGTTTCCAACATTTCTGTTTCAGTTGCTCAATCATATTTCTTCTAATGCACTAGACTAGGTTATGGACGCATCATCAATAGACGATGCCTCAAAACTGATACCTTTCCTCGTGATGCAACAGCTGTTATATGCGAAATACCTTTAAGTAATCTAAATTGCTAAGTTTAATAATCTAATGTACACACTGCGCACGTTCTGCGCAGTTAAAATATCATTTTTTTGTCGTGATGTAAACACAGGTCTATAATTTCAATGCCATTTAAAAATAGCGAATCCACGAAACCTATGCCGTTCACGTTTTAAATGGCGAGACCAATTTAATTGTACTGTTGTGCAACGCATTGCAATAGGTCAGATTTATGTTAAACGTTATTCCCGAATAATTGATCCAACAGGAACCTGTTTTTGGTCGGTGGGTTGCATACGAAACCTTTAGAATACACCTTTAACGTGTAGTTGTAGTTTAAATGTTGCTTTAATTGTTAGATACTCAAGATTTATTTTAGTAATATTGCGTGTTGAAAAAATATATTTATCAATGTGAAGAAAAAACAAATTTCATCAATTCTGTAGTATCCTTTATTGCCATAAAAGAGAAATATACCTCATAAGTTTCTTTTATAGTCATATACATCGTACAGCACGAAATCAAGCTGCATAATTTACGAATAAGTTCGATAAAAAAGGGCAATATCTTACGGCGAAAGGTGTGCTGGGTTGCACGAAGAAAAAATGAATTACATAAATAGGATTCAAAAGATTTATGGAATTACCCAAAAACTTGAATGTTAAGAAAGCTTTGTTATCTACAACAACGATGCATTGCGGAACGGAACATGGATTATTATAAAATATATTTTCTATACCAACAAATGAGACTCTTCTTTGAGTCAAGTATATTTTATTTTTATTATAATTGAATTTTATTGCTAAAATTTTGAAATAATTATTTTCTTTTGTACATATAATTCTTATGTTCTAATATGTGACATCTGAAAATATGCAATTACATTAAATAAAATTTTAATTTCTGTTTCTACCTGTGGTTCTTTATAAAATATAAAAACCGGATTGCGACTCTCTTTAGACTCATGTGTGCCCCTGTTCTAATAATAATAATAGTTATTATTATTATTGATATTTATATAACACATATGTGTATAAGACAGTTTTTTTATGTCATGCCAAACTTTAATTGTGTACCTAAGATCCTGTCAAGACACACCAATGATGAAAATTACTGGAGTAGGAGCACAAATAAATGTTATCTTCAACAGTATTTTTGAACCGTTGATGATAGACTCCTTGCAAAAAAAAACCGAAATAATATTATAAATTTAATTTTATAACTTTCATGATAACATTTTCGATAATAATTTCTAAAATTCTCGTAATAGTGAAATATGAAATTTGGAATTGAAAATAAATTGAACTTACTTATATATATTAATTCTTCAATAAATGAAATATTTTGACATGACTCTTTGATTATTTACTATGCACCACACGTCATCTAAGAAAACAATTAACGAAGGAATGCATTATACGCATATAAAACAGCAGATGACTATTTAACTTTTTAAGTTTACATTGTTTACTCAATGAATATTATTACTAAAAGTCAGATTAAATATAATTTGCTTTGAAAGTAGATACATTAATAGTATTAATAATATAAAAATATATAAGAAGTCTATGTAAAACTGTAATATTTAACTACAGTAAAAATTCGATAACAACAACAGACCTGTTGCTATTATTGATTATAAAATTTCTATCCATCCATGAATATTTATTGTAATCTTAAGTAAAAAAGATAAATCTAATTAAATTATTTTAACATAATTTTATTCTATATTATTTATATATTTTTAATTAAACTACTCCAATTCTTATATATTTTCAAAATATTTCATGAAAAAAAAAAGAAAATAACATGTATATAATTCCGATACAATTATTTAAGTAGTTTCTTATATTATTCTGTCTCTATTTATACTTTTGTAATTTTCATGCGGTCGTACAGGCACAAATGATAGGGTCGCACAAATTCGGCAATTGTTGCAGAAAACATAAAAAAGTCCACAAAATGGTTTTGGCCGATCGTAAATTGAAGTTGCGTGAGATAGCTGACACCCTGAAGATATCAGAAACACACTAATTTTGCTTGAACATTTGATGATGAAAAAGCTGTATTCGAAATTTGAGGCCAAAGATAAATCGTTATACAAGATGGCATCTAAATGTTAGAGAAGCGTTGGAATGAATGTAGCACTCTTGAAGGAGACTATATTGACGAATAAAGTCGAATATTGCCTAAAAGTTGTTGTTTTATTAGCCATTCTACAAACTTATTTAGTCATGTGTTAATATGTTCTTAAGCTGCAGATTCAATATCATTATTATATAAAGATTACATATAACATAGCCAGATTTTTCAAACTTTAGAATATATTTAATATAGACCAGCCTTTCTCAACTTATAGGTCGTGTAAAAATTTTTATAGGTCGCGAAATGACAGCTGTCATCATATATTCCTGTGGGAAGAAATGTATGATCTGATATTAGGATTAATTTCATTTTTTTCATAACAGCATTATCTAAAATTGTTAGCTTCACTTGTTGTTTATAATCAAGTACTTGATGAAGTTTGGAATTACCAATTATTCTTAATTGGACATTCATTTGGATTTTATTACATTTTCTTTCTAAGTAATTTGTACGAGTATTGTTTACTATAAAAATTATACGATTATAATTGTCATGGTAACTACGCATACACTACAAACTAAGCAATAAATTACTTGTTCATTGATTTAGTTATATCATCATTAATTAAGCAGATGAATGTAGTTTGGAATATTTCAAATAGTTTGATTTCTGCGGTTCAGCAATGTTTGAATCGCAGTAGTATTACAAGGAATTCTCGGAAGCGAAACGTTAATCCCAGGATGGGAATTTGCGACGTCATAATTATCAATAACGTTACTGATAATCTACGTACGTCTTGTGATTTTATTTTGTAAGCATTGTGTGTTTCTGTTGCTTCAGAAAACGTGCGTGAATCTCGACGATTTATATTTAGATGGTTCGCAAATTTCGTTGACCCAGTAGAAAATAATAATAATTATAATTTGACGCTAGTAAAGTGTTATTGTTTGTTATTTTCAAAGCACATACGTGTTTTCGTGTTTGCACGATTTGCATCTCCGTAAAATGGGGTAAATATCGTTGCGCAAAGAGCTGACGTTACACAATTGCACGTCCCGCAGTACGATAACAATTATATTTACTGCAGGGTACAGAAGTAGGAAAGGAATATAAAAATGGGAATGTTAAAAGGTCAATCTGCTTATCGCCGAGTGAGGGGTCCTCGCTATCTTCGAAGCCAGCAGACGCGGATCACTTGTAATTACACATTACACTTTATCGAATGATTTCGTTCCTATTTTTAAAACGCACGGTTAACAGAAATATAATGCCTCTTCTTGTTTGTCTCGACTTTATCACATGCTTCTACTCTTCGCGTGTTCGATTGCACATTTTGTTTTGTTTTTGTTCGGCGTTAAGCAATATTTTTGTTTTTGATTTCGTTTGTACTTAAAGGATAATAAAATGACGAATAAGTGCCCTGATGCATCAAAAGTATTCTTTCAAAATCAATAAAATAAAACACATGAAAATACCAAACAACTATTGATATTAATGGCAAATATGGTTAATGAATTTTAGTACTGCAATACTGGGTAATTGCCAGTGAGTAATTTGAAACTTTACTAATTGAGAAACGTAAAAACTGCACAAAAAGAGATTTGACTGTATGTTTAAAATAATTGTTTACTAATTTTTTAGAATTTTAGTTTGCTCAAGTATAAAGCTTTTCATTTTTAATACGAAGATTTTTTTGAAACACATCTTATTAGTTAATCAAGGTATTACAATATTTAGTTAGCCAAGCATATTTAATTATAAATAAAAAGAGATTTTTCATTATAAAAATATAGTCTTCACAACAAACCATTATATGATAATGTGATGAACAAATTTATGAATAATTTCATGAATAAATTCGCAAATTAAGTATTATTATTTAAAGCGGAAAGACTTATGGAAAAACTAATTAAAAAAAAAATTATCACCACATATTTCAAAGATAACGGCAGACATTTTTAAAACTAGTTATAGTCTCAATGCAACATTTGTTGATTATAGAGTAATCTTGGATAGTTGCTGAAAAATTAGACAAGCTACAGGCATAGCTAAACAAATGGAGAATATCGATTATAGAAATGAAATCTGTACATATCACATTCTTACTAAAGAAAGACAACAAATTTTCAGCCCACATGATGACCCAATGGCCAAAATCTGCTCAAATCAACAAAAGTCAAATAAACGGAAAAACGGAATTATCAATGGAGAATAAATTACTAATATACAAGGTAATATTGAAAGCAATGTGGACGTATGGCATTCATTTTTTATCCAAAGGTTTCAGTCAAAATGCCTAAGGTTTATCACAAATAAACAAATACATGTTTAGTAGCAGATAAGAAAGAATCACATAATAACATTCTGGTTATTAACCTGCTTGAAAAGAGACAAACAACAAATAATAATATTAAATATTCACCGGGAACAGATAATAAATAAAATTATTACGACATAATAAAATATTTCAGAGATGCGTCTTTATTTAATATAAGAGATAATTACGTCAATGTTATTTGAAATCATTTTATATTTTAAAAAATGTTTTGAAATTATGTCATTTTATTTATATTATTGTTATTTATACTAACAGTAGATCAAAATTGAAATGATTTGCATAAATGTACGTCGAATCGTTCAACAGTTTCTCGATCAGTAAATATTGTCAAACAACATATTTATGATGCAAGTTATCATTACTTTCCATCACATTTAAACCTATTGACCTATGAATTACTCTTACCAAAATTTCTTGGAAATATTTGTTGTACATTAACATTTATAGCTGTTAAAATTCCGAATATTATAAATAAAAAAAATATTTATATAGAATTTACAAAAACATAATATTTTGCTATAATAGAATTCTACAGAACTTAAGATCTTACAAAAGTGTTAAGTAAGTATTGATAGTAGTTTTTAAATTGTAATTGCAAGATGATTTGTTCAAGTGGTAAAAATGGATGCCGAGGGGGCGACGATCATATGTGTATCAATCGTTGGGGCGCCAATAATAGGTAATTGTATTGTTTTATTGAGAAGAAAGGCGGGGGCGCAAATTACATTTTTGGCCACTTTGATTTCTTGAGGCGATGGCGCAAATTAGATATTTGTCCGCAGGCGTAAGCTTTCCTTGCTAAAGCCTTGCATCTTAATACTAAACATGTTAAATAAACGACCGAAGAATATAGTATTTGATGGAAAGTACAGATGTTAGTAGTAAATCAAGTTTATAGAATTTAAATATTGATTAAACATATAACATCTTGAGTAATCTTTAAGTGGTAGAGTAGTATAAATATGAATGCTTTTTGGATTGTATCTGATTAGAGTCAATTCACAAAATCAATAAAACTGAGGACTGGCCAAAATCCTCGAAAACATGCAACTCTGTTAGTGGTAAAATCGATAAAGCACCAAAAGGAAAGCCGTAAAGAAATGAAATAAGTGTTTCTGATTCAGTTCAACGGTCCTTAAATTGAATCAGTGTTTAACGCTAAAAATAGGTTTACAAATGCATTAAATTTCTTTAAATTTATAATATAATATTTTTTTTTAGAAAATTAATAATTATAATTGTTTATTGGAGTTGTAAATGTATTGAAAATACTGAGTTATTTAAGAATTGTTGTCTTTCCGCCTCTACATAATGTTTTCAGAATGTTCATAGTTAATATTCACAAAAAGAATTGTATATATCCGACACTTTTGTAAAATTAAATATTATAAAGATTATATGGATTTTGTACAATTTTGCAAGTTAATTTGTCCACAGGACAGTTTGAGTTTTAATTATTATTATTTTCTTATCTAATTATTCGTAAGACTGTTTGCAGTTCAAATATGATAATTAAAACATTTTTACTGAATTTATTATATCACTTTGATAGAGTTGTTGTTATTATTGTTGAATAGACTTGTGTGGAAGGTCAGATGCGAATATATTTTTGCACCTAATTTGAGGCGACACATGAATCGCATCGGAGTCTATTTACTATAGAATCTCTGCAGGGGGCGAGGTCAAGAGGTTCAAAAAATGATTGCGCCCGTGTCAGAGGCCAGAAAGTCTCCGAGCAAATTAAATAAACGGATCTCAAGATTAAAGTCCACAGGCATTCTTGCGCAAAAAAAATGACGTTACACTAAATGAAAAGAAGATTAGATTTCTATTGAATTTCTTTTATTCGGACCGAAACGGTCGACGTACACTATCATCCAATTTACTTCTTTTCGTTATCATATCTATTCTTCTTGTCCTTCTTCCGGCGCTTGCGGCGGTTCTTCCGCCGGTGGCGGCGCTTCAGCTTCTTCTGGGGCGGGAGCCTCGGGAGCTGGTGCCGGCGCCTCCTGATCACCTCCTTCTTCGGACGGCGGTTTCTCTTCAGTTACCTGATAACTTTCCACCACGGTGGTTACTTCGGTATGTTCTATTACTATTGTTGTTTCTTCCTCGTGCATAGCCATTTGAGAATCCGTCTCTTCCGGAATCTTCTGACTTGTCTTTGATCTATAATCGAGAGATTAAATCAGCAGTCTACAACATAATTATTTCAGTACTTATTCACAGAAGATTTACTCTTCAATGGGCCATGGTGAGATGTTCCTGTACATATAAAGAGTAGCATTAGTAAATAGGATACTTATTTAGTTAGAAATTCATACTCATTCCTGAATGATCGGAACCTAAAGCGGCATCTGAAATATGTGAAACTTTTTATTATGTCTTCGAATATGGTTATGTAAGGTACCTTTCAAAGACGATTTGGAGGCTTTTGAACCTCGTCGCGACAATCTAGCAGATGAAGCCCGTTTTCCTTCTTCCATCTTAAATATAAGAAAGCGTGCAAATTTGGTTAACTAACTTAAAATGTCTTACCGCTATGGTTGATCTTGCAGATATTGGCGCTCCTGAAACCATGACGGAAGCCCTCTGAGTCACGGATCTCTAAAAAGTAATTCATTAGATAACCTATAAACACCATTTAGTGGAAGAAATAAAACCTTCTCTTCTATTGTATCAGGTGGTTGAGCCTCGGAGCCCCATTGAGCCAAGAAATGACCTAATCTTGTCACCCTTTGCTGAGGTGTGGTAATTGTATGACTTCCTCCACAGTACCGATTACAAATATGATCTTCGCTATAAATATACGAGAATTAAATGCAGTTAATTAATAGCAACTATAAAATAGCATACGCTTTTTTCAAACTCTTGGCGTTCATTGCATTTTCGAAATTGTTCATATTCCTAGCGCCTGGTAATCTGCAAATAAGTGGATGAGATGATATTAATTTAATTATTAAATTTTAGATAAACTTACGTTTTCTGCTGCTTTCTCAATGCATCCAATTCGTAAGCCAAATACGGTCCCATGCTTCTGGTAGGTGGAAGACCTTGAGCTGCAGGCTTTAACGTCGAGTCCATCTCTTTCCTCATGACCACATCCTTGTCACATGATATACAATTAACATTCCTCAGCAATTTACTCTTGGTACCAGCAGCTTCCTGTTCCTTCTTCAACGCTGCCAAAGACTTCATTCTCTCCTGGAGCATCTTCAACTTATTGTTGATGAACTCCCTCAATGGACCCAAATCCATTTTATCTAATTTTGTTCCAATTTCGTATTGAATATTATCCAAAGCTCCTTGCCACATGAGTTCCTATGAAATACCACTTGGAATTTACGTTTTACAAATAAACATATTTACGAACCTGTTGTGACAATTTCTCAAGAGCGTCTTCAATACCCTTAGATAATTCATCGCAAGCGCTGTCGAATTGATCGTGAGACACCTTCCTATGCACTGTGCAAGCATCCGCTTTATCCGCCAACGCCTCTTCAATGTCTTCCTTATCAGCTTTCATCGATTTTAGCAAATCAATTTGCTCCAACATTTGCTGAAAACGGTTTAAGTATATGACCTTACATTATTTAATCTATTAACACTTACATCCATTAAAGCTTGTTTCTCTTCTTTGTCGTTCAGAAGTTTAACAGAAGTATCGGCAAGTTGCTCACATTCTGCTTGTATCGACAGTAGCTTCTGATAGACGTTCATGCAGCACTGGTTCGGTTCATCCATGTTCTTATCGCCAGATGGAAGACTTCCTTGGATCTTAACCAGAATTTCATTGAAATCTCGTTCGATATCTGTGAACTGATTGTGAAGTTTCGTGATCTCGTCGTTGAAGCTCTGATCCAGTTGTTCCAGATGATCCGTGTAATCGTGGAAGCGCTCTTCCATCAGTTGCAATTGTAGCACCGGTGGTAATTCACAAGGCTCTTCACCAGCATCATCATCTTAAAAAAATAATATAATTGTATTAGTCTTTGATAAAGTCATGACAGTTAGTACATACCTCCATCCTTTTTAAATTTGTTACCAAACATTGATTTCATTTCTTCAACGTCTTGTGCTAATTGCGTCAAAGGACTATCCTCCGGTATGCTATTGTGTATGTTAGCTACAATATCCTTAAGCTCCGCCAATTCCTCTACTAACTGCTGAAGAAGATCACCAGGTGGAAGACTCATCATTCTATCTCTGAAGTTATCTTCACCATCTGTGGTATCTGGATGAGTTGCAGATTTTTGGCTTGTCGGTACATTATTGCTCTTATTGGATTTATCTGAAGCAGCCGTTGATTCACGCCTGAAATTAAGGTATTACAGTGAAGATTTTTTTAAAATGCATTGCTTTACCCTTTCGTTTTCATTCCAGTTGTTGAGCATGTTTTCATCACCGTCAACGGTGATTTGATGAGATCTTCTACCATGCTGGCCATCTTGTTCATACCGATTTCTGCGGCGTCCACCCTTTTGGATAAGCTCAAGAGTTGGTACATGTCAAGGATAGGAGATTGGGTCGTGGAGGATTGTATGGCCTCGATTATACCGAGATTTGCAGGCAGCTCAATCATATCTTTGACCTGATTTTTAAGGGACTCGACTTCGGACAGGATAAAATCCAATTGGGCTTTGGTGACCGTTGTAGAGTGAATGGATGGTGTACCTTTACCAGATCCATCGACAATCATCACATTCTCGTTAGATCCTAAGATCATAGAAAAAGATACAAAAATGTTTACTCAGAACCAATCACTGATGAACCTCCTTTCTTCGATGATGCGATTGTGACCTCAGCAACGCTGAGTCGGGTGCCACCATGAACTATATTCTGCAGTTTTTCAGCATCTGGTCCTCGGATCTCAACGCTCAAATCTTGAGCATTCATCTTATTAACAAGCACCTGAAGTACTGTATGGAGCAGATTGAAATTCACAACACCTTCCTTAAACGTAACATTATTAGCAATTTCTCCACAGTGGAGGATGTGCTTGTTACTTACCTCAGGTGAATTTACTACCAGATCGACCATTTTGGCCAGCGGCACCTGAATGAAAGTCTCAGGCATCTTCCAAACTTTATTTACATTCAGTCAAAAATGTTTATTTCAAGTTAATTTTGTTGGCGGAATTCGATTCGATTCCAAACCAAATATCAATCGATTGAAGTTTCGACTACTGTCAAATTGTCTAATCTGAAATCTACTTTCTTTGTTTCCTTAATATTTCAATTGGCAGATGCGATTTAATATGTTTAATTTTGTTTAATCATTAAAATATATCAAACATTTTGATTAAAACTCATGTTTTTAATTGTAATTATTGAAATAAAAATGAATGTTTGATTTTCTTTGAGAATACATTAAAAAAATACAGCAATACCTCTAATAGTCCGAGTAAAGTGTTCCGTCAATACCGGACTATTCGAAATAGGACTATTAGAGGACTTTAAAACCGCCTTAATAATAAACAGCGAAAAATTCCTCCAATTCCTCCAAATTCAAGAGGAAAAAATGATCATTTAAATTAAAAAAAAAATCTATGAATTTAATAGAATTTATTTTGCTTAGTTAAAATTTAGTGAATCCGCTCGCATAGTGCGGTTTGTTGTAATTAAGAAATTATTACTTTTTTTTTTACGTTTTATATTTATACGTAAGTTATATTTTCGTAGTTAAATAAACATTGCTTTAATGATTTTTGTAAAAGCGATAATTTTGGTAAACTTTGAGTATTAATAAATATTAGGTCCTATGAAGATCAGTAAACAAATACTAATTTTTCTATATTTTTTGATATCGAATCGAATTCATTTTAATACAATTAGTATAGTGAATTTGAAATTTTAATTGAGTAAAATAAAAATCTTTATACAGTTAATGCAGACTATTTTTAAGGCCTTGATTAGTCCGGTTTCAAACAGTAGGGGATATTAATGTAGCAGTATTATGCGAGGTATTTCAATATTTTATTTTTCATATTATTTTTTCTTTTTTTTTCTATATTTCTAATTATTACATTATATTTTAATCATTTTATGTTCATATATTTATATTATATTTAACAATGTGCTATGCAAATTGCAGCTCAATAAATAAATTGTATTGCAAATACTAGCTTATAAAGTTAAACTTTAACTATAGTTTTTAAGTTGAATTATAAAACTACTTTTGTAATATGCCATCATACTTATTTATTAATCTTTAATCATATTTTTTTCTGAATTTAGCAATAGTGGTTTGTAAATCAATTTAAAAAAAGCAAACAAAAAATGGGTTTTATAATGAATTTGGTGGTGGAAAAAATGGTCAATATAAAAATATTATATATTGAATATTGAATACACGTAAAACTCATACGAAATTATATTTATCTGAAATGTGTACATTGAACAAAAAAAAATCATCGTTTCAAACAAAAAATCACACATGTCACGTACGAAAATTTGTGGAGCGCGCGAAAAAAGGGTCGCATTATCATGCATTGGATTTGCTTAGAAACAACAACAAAAAATATAATAAAAAAATACAAGTGTATTCGCAGTTTATTTCGTTCTGTTTTCAACAACGAGTAAAATATTTAATTTTAATCTCAAAGGGTAGTCCAAATAAATAAGATTCACTTCTGTCTATATTTCAGTTTCCTTTTTGTACACGTGGCACATCGCCCTCCGTATGTTATCTCTCGTATAAGCTTCGGAAATTGTAAAGATTCCTGACTGGGTTGTGTGTATGTTCGAAGGTTGATTTGTTTCTTTTCTCTTTTCCTTGTTGCTACTGCTTTTAGTTTTTTTTTGTATCTTTTAGTCCTTTTTTCTCTTTGGTCGTATTTTGTTTTGGGGGGTAAATTTCTCTGGGGGTTGAAGGGACGAGGTGGAGTAGAAGGAGGTGGAGACGGAGGGCGTCGAGACGCGATGCGCCGCGACGCCTGTGTATTTGTGTGTGCGGTGCGGGTGGACCCCTACGGTTAGGCACCGTGGTCTGCGTCGCTTCAGTCGAAGATCGTAGCGGGGCCAAAACAGGCGCGCGACCCCCGTTGTTTTCAGCTACAAATACGAAGAAAATACGCGAAGTTTTATAGAAAATTTTTGCTCCCGCTGATATAATTACCGACAAATTTAAGTTTGTTTAATTCAATTACATCCCGTGTGTGTGTGTGTGATTTATTTATTTTAAATTTTAAATTTTTTATATTAAATTATTTATTAAAACGCGAAACTTTATTTAATGCAGAAGTTCTAGGGTCAACTCGGAAAGTTTTTACCTACTTGAAAACGTCTCTCGTAAGATATTTTCTTTCGTTTTAATGTAAACATTACTTTATAATTTCATTACTTTGGTAGACTAGAGTTTTTTTGAATTATATTCCCTGCTACCACTTTTAAATCTATTTTTTTTTAAAGTTTACAAATTTCTCACAATTTGTATGATCCAAGTTTAGATTCTGATTTTCTTTTCATATTCTGTTTTATTATAATTATTCATGTCGCCTGATATTTAATTTCTTGTATTAACATAGATATTACTTTATAAGTTAATTTATATAAATTTATAACTTATAGCCTTTATTAAATATTTAAAGTACCTATTGATTATATAGTTTTTCGCCATACTTTTTTTTCTAGTTATTTTATGTTAACTCATTATAATTGCGCAATATGTGTCATTATTGTGATTATGAAATTTCTGAAAAATATAATCTTAATATATATATCAGGTAGAAAATCTATGGTTGATAGTCATTTCTTCCATATTTTGAACTGCTAATAAATATGCTATTTTTTATATTTTTCAAGAATTTGTTCTTTAATAATAATTATTTTATGCTTAAAAAATATTAGAAAGTTGTTAATGCTTTAATGTAAGTAAAAACATTTTATTTGGATTAATGACACAAAATTGGGCTAATAAAAATTGTTAATAGAGAAATAATAAAAAATAATATCAAAATGCAGAAAACGCTATAAAATGATGATTTTTATATTAACTAAGACTTTAATTATGTCTTACTGAAGAAAATTTAGTATTTATTAAAATTATTTACTACATCAAACAAACTGAAACTAATAGTAAAATTATGTAGTTTTTTCTTTAAACTATCACAAAAATATTACATACACACTTCAATAAGTCATTACTTTATTGACGTAAATTAAATATTACAAAATGTTCCACTTTATTCTTTGAAATTATAATATATTTTTATAAATATTTATTGTAAATTGATCTAATTTAATAAAAAAGATAGAAATATTGTAATCAACGGTTTATTTACACAATGTGAAAATAACATTGTTGTCGACAAATAAAATTGCGAATGAACCTACTACTATAAAATGTTTGCACAGCAACTTGCGAATATGAATATAGATGAATTATTAGTTGACACACCTTCTCTATGGTTTCATCATTCTGATCAGGTGGAAGAAAATTATAGTTATAGTATCGCAAAAGCTCCGCTCACTATAAGTTTAATAAAAGAGGACTTCAACTAGCCAGTGAATTGGAAAACTGTTTTCTTATTACCTTGTTGAAACAGCTACGAGTTTTAAACGTGAATTAATATCATGATCAATTTCATTTTTTTTTATTTATTAATTTTGAATTCTTTTATAATTGGATATTAAGATTATATTTGAGATCATAAATATAATATGCCTCAAAGAAGAACATTTTTAATCAAAAAGCAATTTATGGAATGGTTAAGCACAGTTAATTATAAATATTGCAATGAAAACATAAAAATATTAGAATATTATAGGGTAATTAAGTTTGTATACTATATTTCAGGGTTTCTCAAACTATGTTGTTTGTTCTTTAATTTTAAAGTTAATAAGGATTTACGAAGTGTTCCGTTGCAGAAAAAGTTTGGGAAACCCTGTAATATATAGTGATTAGTTAACGAACTGTTCGAACTTTTTATGTTCGGAGTATAAAAATATATTCGGATATAACGAACAGCTTACTGAGCAATTAACGTTACTTTTGACCCAAATACCAAAACATACATTTTTATATAAAAATGTTTAAAAAAATGGCCATGGTCTTTTCGTCTGAAATATAATAATAATTATATAATTATTATATTTTGAAAATGTATAAAAATAATTTAAATTGTATATAAATTTAACAAAAATCCAATATTTTTATAATAAATTTTGAAGCTCAACAAACAAGACAAAAACAGCAATTGAAAGCTATTATTTCCTGTCCATTAAAATAAATATTTGATTTAATAATTTCATGACGTTTCATGTAAAGAATGCACGATATATGAAAACATATTTTTCATGGGGTGCATTTGCATACAGCCCGTAATTACAATAACAATGAACATATGCTAATAATTAAATTTTCTCATAATAAAAAAATAACATGGCTTTGGCGGAACAAACTGCAATTACAAGTTTTACAAAATAAACAGACATTGTTTATTGACATTATATTTATATACTTATACCTCGATTAACGAATAGGATTTATTGCACCGAATTGCTTCATTAAGCGTAACTTTGTTTTCAGAAGTATAATTACTATGTCTTTGTAAAGAAAATAATATTTTTGAAACCAGTAAAAAATGTATTTTACATTTTAATATATGAGTCGAAAAGTTGATTGTTTATGTTTTTTCTTTTTCATTTAAGAATTCTCAGTATGAAATTATTGCATTAATATTGCGCCTAACAATAACATCTCTTCCTAAATGAGGATCTGCGGTTTTTTGGCAGGAACTTCTGTAATTTCATCTTTATTTTCTTTATCTTTATTTTTAATAAGGTTTTCTAAATTCTCTATAGAAAAACTATTATCTTCTGTATCATATTCTTCGTTATTTTAAAATCTTCTAATTGAGCCATAAATCCATTTTTATTTTTTTATGTTAGTTTATTCTTCTAGTATAACTTTTAGCAATATTTTGAAACACACTCCATTTAAGCATTTCTTACAGACTTGATAAATAAAACAATTTGTAGGACAAAAAATGAGTTATATAATAATTATCTTTAATGTAATTCTAAGAACTGGATCTTATCCCTGGTAGTGTAAAATTGCTGTAATAATAGTAATTAATATCGTATAGACCGAACA